TTTGGTAATGGAGTAAAACATTCCTCGTCTTCAACCGTTATATTTTTTGTGTAGGAGGAAATTTTCATTACCATTTAAATTAGATATTCAAATTGATTCAAATTAAGGTAGATGCTGAATTTTAGTTAAAAACAATTTTAATGAGTAGACAATTAGAAAATATATATTTATTAATATTTTCTGTTATACGTTAATGATTTGTTTTCATTACAATAATATGATCAAATTTTCTGGTTTCATTAAATAATCAGTTTATTTTTCAGTGAATAGTAATTTCTGTTTGCATGAAAAATCAATTGACATAATTCTTTTTGACATCATTAAAATATTTAAATTTTCAATTTTGTTTTTAGTTTATATTTTTATTGTTTCTTGCAAAATACATCTAGTTTTCGATTTTGGTAGGCAAAATTAATATTTACTGGATGTAATTGTTTAGTATGTGATGTTATGCGTGAAAAAGATAATGAGACTCGTATTGTACATTAATTAAAATTATATATTAACAAAAACACAATATTTGCATTAAAAAATCACATGACATTAAAATTTCTTTTTCACTGCTTTTTGTGAAAAAACAGTGAAAAAATCATTTTCACTGCTTTTAGTCAATATGATGAATTTTGTGTATACAAATGATGCATTTGTGTACACCAATTCATCATTTGTGTGTACAATAATGATATTTTTAGCCAATACATGATCTTTTGTATTTAGTTATAAAAAACATTTATAAAATAAATGAATAATGATTTTTATCTCTTTTTGCAAGTTGAAATTAAAATATATAAGGATCTGGTGAAGTATTTATTTATTATAAAGAGTGAAATTTATCATTTTTTATTTGTTGTAATTTTTGTTATGTATATAAACTTTGGGTAATAATTTTTATCTCTTTTTGCATGTTGAAATTAAAGTAGAGAAATGCTATAGGTACATAATAATGTATATAGGGGTATACATAACACTCACATTGAGTGGAACCCACCAAAAATAAAAAATTAAATGGACTCCACTCAATGTGAGTGTTGTGTATACCTCTATGTAGAGTTATTATGTACTTGTAGCATTTTTCATTAAAGTATATAAGGAGCTCAGTGAAGTACTTATTTATTTATTATAAAGAGTGAAATTTATCATTTTTTATTTATTGTAAGTTCTGCTATGCATATAATCTTTTTTTATTTTGGATTATACATAAGTAATAAGGCAAGATAAAAAGTTAAAGGAAAAAAAAGTAAGGTTTGTATTAAAAAGATTGGATAAAGGGTGAAATAATTTTTGGTAACTGCTTTAGGCGGGAAAAACTTGGAGGTTTTATTAAATAGGTAGAATTAAATGCTAAGCCAACAATTATATATACTAGTAATCATCCTGTGCATATGCACAAATATAAATAAACTATTATAAATTATATTTGTAAATAAAATATTAGATTATATATTAGATAATGGACATATCACATTTTCAAAATTAATCATTACTAAAAATTAAACAATATAAATATAAATTATTAAGTATATATGAATCATTATACTGATTGAAAAAAATTTGAGGATAATTTATTTTTTAATTTTGAGAGATTATAGTCAAATAATTCAGTTGAAAACTCATTATTATTATTATTATTAGTATTATAGAAATAATTATGTATAAGATTTTAAGGTGGTTTGACAATGCTATAAAACTATTAACTAATATTTTATAAAGAAAGTCATTTCTTGAGATACAAAAAATAAGAGAGAATATTGATTTTACAAGTAAGAGTTTGAACCGAAACATTTGCAATGTAACTTTATACTTATGTAATTTCTATATAACCATTAGTATAAATTATTATTAGTTGGTAATAATATTAATTATTATATAATATAATGATAAAAAAATATATGATTGCACTTAATTAAAATAATGTAATGATTTTCTACCATAATTAGCTAAAAAATGGACGGGAAATGTTACTAAGTGAAGTTGAATAAAATAAAAGGAAAAAAACTAATTAATGATGAAAACTTTGTAACATCTTTTGGCGGGAAACCAAAGACAATTTTATTAATTGCTCTGCAAGCAATTATACATATATAGATATAGATAAATGTACATTTTGTAGTCAAATGTATATATTTGACCACTCAATAAGGGCATTTTTGTAATCTCACACGATTCCATCTCACCACCACTTTATGGGTCCCATCATAACTCTCTCTCTCTCTCTCTCCCACGCACACACACACACACAAAAAATATTAATTATTCACGCACGCACACACACACACACACTGAACACGCACACCTAACACACATAGAATGTGTCTCCGCCGCCTACACACACAGGCTATGGCTTTGCCGCCTGCCGCCGACGTCAACGGCTCTGATGCCAGACAATAGGTGCTCCCCAAGACGACAACATGGCCCCTTCCGGTCGCCGGATGCAGAGACTTGCAGCCGTTGGTGCCGTGCTCGTCGGAGAGATCGCTCCTCCGGGGGATTAGGATGTGGACGAAATCTTGGCGACCGAGGACGACAATGTCGTGAAATCGAAAGCAGTAGACAGTAGGCTTGTAAACAAATCAATTTTTTTTTTATTCGATTCGATATTCGAATTCGATATTCGTGATTCGAATTCGAATACGAATAATGTTTTATATTCGAAAGTTAAATGAATCCGAATTCGAATTTGTAGATATTCGATTCGAAATTCGAATATTCGATTCGTTAACAATAATTATATAAATTTTATAAATTATATATAGTATACATATTGTTTATAATATATATGTATATATATATTGTTATATTCCTACTATTTTTATGACATAAAAAGTACAAACATCATAAATTAACAAATTTTTCTAAAAATATATGAAAAATAAAAATTATTTTTTGTAATTATAATATTTTTTAGTTATAATTTTTTTTTGAAAACGAATTTCGAATCGAATCGAATATGTTCGAATATTCTAAACGAATCGAATACGAATAAAAAAATGAGTTCGTTAACGAATCGAATACGAATTCGAATCTTCGAATATTTTAACGAATCCGAATCGAATCTCTGAGTATTCGCTTTGATTCGATTCGTTTACAACCCTAGTAGACAGTGTACAGTGAGTGGAAGTCCGATGGCCGCAGAGGGTGTTGACGGTGTGACGGAGGATGAGGATGTTGATGACGCGACGAATGAAGTTGCTGGCGCGACGGAGGTGGCTGACCATCCCGGTGGACACGATGACGACAACGGAGATGCCTGTGACTTGTGAGACTGTTGTCGGCGGCGATTTGGTCGGCGACGATGTAGATGAGTGTGGCTTTTGAGACGATCGGATCTGCAGATTTTTGTTTGAGAGGTTGCAGCGTGTAAATTTGATAAGTCCTAAGGACTTGATTGCAATTTCAAAAATTTTAGAATATATATATATATATATATATATATTCTAAAATATGATTGCAATTTAATGTAAGTGCACATTAATGACTGTCAGAATACATATTAGCGTAACATTGCATTCTACGCAATGATTGAAATTTCCTCGTGAGATGAAATCAAAAGTCCACATATTTGCAACAATATCGCCGCTTCTTTGACCAAAGTTTGACCATTTGATTGTGTCTGAAGCATTGATATATCTCATTCGACCGTCACGACCCATTCTTATTTCTTTAATTATAAATTTATAACTCATTCTCATTTGAAACAACTTCTCTCAATATATATACATTTAAAACTTAAAATACACAATTTGGAATCAACTAAAACAATGTACAATCTTAAAAAAAAGACCATGTTGGGCAAATATGATGCTTTCACCATTTAATTGGCCTAAATTTAATTGTTCCACATTGTACTTTTGTATAAAATTCAAAGGATTAACTAAACCAGTGTGGTTAAGCAATGGTCACAAGTTGACCAATAACTAAAACCATGGGTGTGCAGCAGCCTCACCTATTAATCAATGTCCTCAACTACTAGTCAATAGTTAACTAATTATTTTTTTCAAACAAATTAGAATTCTAATTTAATTTTTCTCTATTTTTCGTTGATTTTTTATATTGTACTACCACAATATACGTGTACTACATAAGCAACAACAATGACTTATTTTTCCAAAGTATTATGGTACTTTATAATTCAATTTGGTTTTATTCAGAGTGTGTTGTTACAGGTGGTGTATGGCTGTGGCTGCTTCAAAACATTGTCGCGACCGAATTGGTTTAATTAGCATAGTACATATGAAATTGGAAGTTATAAAAAGATAAATGTAGACATCATTATCAGTCAACTCTTAGCCACCGCAATAAACAACATATGCAACTAGTCTAAAGAGTGACACTCTGTAGAATGACCAGATTAAGTGCACATCAAATTTTTCTCCCATCTTAACTGATTTTTTACACCAAATTGTTGTACACAAAAGCAGTTCATTTAATATAATTCCTTGAGACTGCAATTCACAAATTTTAAACCAATTCTTATATCAAATTGTGAATTGGTTGTTCTAAGTCGCCTAACTATTAAGCAAACATATATACTATACTCCTTTCACATCATTAGAAAATATCATACTTTAAAAAAATTATGAACATAAATATAATATTTAACAGTATAAATATATATACATTAAGTGTAAACATTTTGAGTCTAACGATTACACCGCCTCTTGTTAATAGTATAAATATGCATATTGTTTAAATAGCTGCATAACTATTAGATTGCCTTTTGTTGACAGTATAACTATATATTTTATTCAAATAGTATGACAGGTCTAGCTCACTTAATTAACGATTACATCCGCTTAATACTTTGTTCAAATAATTTGACGTGTCAACCCGAACAATTGGACCAGGACATGATCGTGAACATACATTGAACTTTCACCGTGTAGAGTTTAACGGTCTGCGCACCAACAGTGATCACAAAACATCAATATTGAGAAAAGTCTATATATATATATGATATGAATTACTAATTCTCAACCCAACACAAAATACCAAAATCCAAAATGGCGTCGCTTGCTCTCTCGTGGTCCACCACCACACCATCCGTCAAGCCATCTCCGCTGCCACCTCATTTCCCGACCAAAACCGCCACTCGAGCCCGTCCCCTCACCATCTCATGCAAAGCCGCTGACGACGACACCGAGACCTCTTCCGACCTAGCAAAACTCGACCGACGAAACCTACTCCTCGGAGCCGGTGGCCTATCCGGTGCTGCTGCGGCCCACATTCTCTCCCGCGGTCCCCCGGCCCTGGCCACTCCCATCACATCCCCCGACCTCTCCAAATGCTCCACCGGCACCAACCTCAACACCCAACAGCCCCTCGACATAAGCTGCTGCCTCCCCAATTCCTTTGACGTCTCCGACTACAAGCTCCCGTCCGTCACCAAAATGCGCGTCCGACCCGCGGCCCACCTTGCCGGGAAGGACTACTTCGCAAAGTACGAAAAAGCCCTTTCCCTCATGAAGTCTTTACCGGACGACGACCCGCGGAGCTTCACGCAGCAGGCCAACATCCACTGCGCCTACTGCAACCTCATCTACCCTCAGACGGGCGGCGCCCCAGACTCGAAGCTCCAGATCCACAACTGCTGGCACTTCTACCCCTGGCACAGATGGTACCTTTATTTCTACGAGAGGATCCTCGGGAAATTGATCGATGACCCGACGTTCGCCATCCCGTTCTGGAACTGGGACCACCCTGACGGCATGATCATGCCGGAGGAATTCGCGCGCAGAGGCTCCCCTCTCTTCGACGCACGCCGCAACCAGAAACACCTGCCGCCTGCGCTGGCTGACCTGGCGTACTCCGCCAGGTCAGCCACGAGGCCGGACAGGATCGTCTCCAACAACCTCACCGTCATGTACACCGAGATGGTGCGCAACGTCTCGCGGCTCGAGGACTTCTACGGAGCGAGGTACGCGGTGGGGACCGCGCCGGACCCTGGCCCCGGGACCGTGGAGCGCGGGTCCCACGCGTCGATGCACTCGTGGGTCGGGGAGGACACGCCGACGGGGGAGGACATGGGGAACTTCTACTCCACGGGTCGCGAGCCGCTCTTCTACAGTCACCACGCCAACATCGACCGACTCTGGTCTGTGTGGCGTGGCCTGCCGAAGAAGCCTGGGAAGTCCTCGAGGGACTTCCCGGACGAACCCGACTGGCTCAGGGCCGACTATCTTTTCTACGACGAGGAGGGGCGGCTCGTGCGCGTGACCAATGCCGACACGCTGGAGACTGAGCGGATGGGTTACGTGTACCAGGACGTGGCCCTCCCGTGGCTGAAGAACAGGCCGAGGCCGCGCAACAAGAAGTCGAAGGCGGCGGCGGCCACCGGAGCTCCGGCGGCGGCGGCGGCGGGGGTTTTTCCGATGAGGCTCGACAAGGTGGTGAAGGTGCTGGTGGGCAGGCCGAAGAGGTCGAGGAGCAAGAAGGAGAAGGAGGAGGAGGAAGAGCTGCTGGTGATAGAGGGGATTGAGGTGGACACGGCCAGGTTCGTGAAGTTTGATGTTTTCGTGAACGACGAGGATGACAAGCCGGACGAGCTGGACAAGGCGGAGTACGCGGGGTGTTACGCTCAGGTCCCACACAAGAACTCGATGAAGGTTAAGAGTAAGATTAGGCTGGGGTTGACGGAGCTGCTGGAGGATTTGGAAGTGGAGGGTGACGACAAAATATTGGTGACGTTGGTGCCCAAGGCAGGGGGTGAGGACATCACCATTGGCGGTATCAAAATAATATATGCCTCCTAATAATTAAGCGGCGTTTGTGGATTGTGGGTCGATTAAGACTGTAGTTTGGATGTGTCGTTTTGTTGCGTTTACGGGTCGTGTCATGTTTTGGGGCTCGGGTTTGTGAGTTAGCTCCTCGCAAAAATTTCGTGTCGTGTTCTTTTGTGTAATAAATTTTCGCCTCGTACGTGTAATGGTAGGTCGGGGCTATTGTGTCTATGTAATAAGAGATTTTTTTTTTTTCCTTTTCTATTATATATTTGAATTTTAATCATCTGCCAAATTAACTCAGGATGCAATGACTGGTTCTCTCTGATCTCTGAACGCCGCCTGACCGTTTCGTCCTAGTTCATAAAAAAAGTGTTGGGAGAGATTCTAACGTCTGCCTATGATGATCAATTCAGTCACTCGTGTAAAATACGTGTATAATAATGCGTAAATTGTAATGTATCAATGATGATCGTGCCTTTTGTTTTTGTAAGTGATACACATAAAAATTATTTATATGCTTCGTGCCGGCCCACTAAGCCTAGAAATGTATAACCCACAATGAATGTATATTTAATTATTCACCTAGTGAGGGAGATCGGTTTATGTGGCTCTGTGCATTTGCGATAGATGTATCCATTTGAGCAGTATATGAAAATTCTAAAGGGTTATGTAAAGAACCCTCATCGACCGGAGGTGTCTATTGTTGAAAGATATGTTGCAGAAGAAGTAGTTGAGTTTTGTACTGAGTATCTATCACGGGCTAAATATGTCGTCTTCCAAAGTCTCGCCATGTGGGTAGATGTCCTGGAAAAGGAACACTTAGGGGATGAATGAAGAGTGTTGATCGTGAAGAGTTGCTACACGCACATCTGTATATTCTAACCAATACTCCTGGGGGGTCGTTTATTTTGCAGGATGGGATAAGACAAATTTATCAAGGGTACTTTACAGCTCAGCAATCAGTTCCTTGTTTACTTTTCTGGTTGGAATTTACATAAATGAATCTCATCTTTACTTCAATGGATTAATTGGCATGTTACAAAATCCAAGACTAAATTACCCTTATGTTGTCTGTACAACATCGACTTCACAGAATCGCTTTCATTCTTCATTTCTTCTCCCCCGATACCCTCCACTCATCCCCATCTTCAACAGCGAAGTACCATTCACGAAACCGATTAACCGGCACTAAAATATGCGGAATTTGAACAAAATGTAACCTACACTCGGAACCAAATTAATGAAACAATAATAGGCATAACTGAGGAATGTCAAGGTGTTTACCTATACCGGTACCTGGGAAGAGCTCACAGTTATGCCCGACGGAGATTGCGTTTTGTATGGGACCAACAAAAATTGCGATAAATAAACAAAAAATAAATAAATAAATAAACGAACTAAAATTGTAAGTAGAAAAAATCGACAGAGAAAACGAAGCACGCCGACGAATGTAACGCTAAATCGACATAAATTGAAATGGAGAAGAAAAAAATGGCAAAGTGGAGCTTAGCTTCTAGCCCGACGGAGTCAACGAAGCTTCACAACAATGGTTTGTCTGTGCAGAAACTAGGGCAAAAAATGGGGATGCTCGATTTTATTTCTACGGGTGGCAGTTGTAAAATAGTGCAAATTAAGGGGTATGTTGGTCATTTCTCAGCGAAATCTGAGGGCAAAATAGGTATCATGTGCGTGAGATTATTTGAATTTAATCGGCAAATGGGGGATGAACCAGTTTTCCCGCCTTCCACATATGCGCCACGTCAGGCAAATCCAATCCCATTCTCATGAAGTAAACGAAAGATATACCAAGACTATTTTGCTTATCCTGTCCTGTCCCGCAAAGTAAACGCCCCCCTGAAGTACAACCTTAGTTGGATGTGCATAGGAGACTCATAAAGGAGAAAAAACCTCAAAAAGCGCGAGAACGATGGTTAGTGAACGAGCATAACAAGACCTTCATGTCGTGGTTTAAGAATGAAGTTGCGAATCGCCCTTCTGCTTCATATACAGTCTCCTGGTTAACTGATGGACCTAATTTTGATATCATATCTTGGCGTGGTTACAACATAAATAGGTATTCCTTCTACACGAAGGAATGAGATGAAAAGAGCACTCTGCAAAATAGTGGTGTTTCACTTGAAGCGGAATTAATTCATCTCTCAAGTGCAAAAGCCAAAAACCCATTATGTGCCTCTAGCTCTTATTTTGGGATTATTGAAGAGATATGGGAGCTTAACTACATTAAGTTTATTGTGCCTGTTTTCAAATGTAAATGGATGGATAATAATAATGATGCGTAAGTTGATGAGTTAGGATTTACTTTAGTCGATTTTCGTAAAGTTGGATACAAGAATGAACCATTTATGCCGGAAATTTTCGTCCAAATCGAGGTTCCGGTGCTCATTTTTGCCGGAAAGCTGGTGTGGCGCCCAGTCGGATTGACCGAGTCCTTTGTTGCCCGGTGCAAATAGCCCACCCAGACCGGTTCCAGCTCCGGGTCGACCGGATCCCGAGTCGACCCACCAGGACTGTCCGGGTTGAAAAACAATGCCCAAATGCATAGATAAGAGAGTATTCATTATTTTTCCTTTCTTTCTCAACCTCAGTTTTGCTATAGAGTCATCGGATGACGCAATTTATGGAGTCATCCATACTTATTTACCAATATTGTATTGACACGTGTCCTATAATGAATATAATTTGGACATGTGTCAATACATTAAATGGTGGATGACTCCATAAAAAAAACTATCCGATCCTTATTACACAGACACAATAGCCACGACAAAATCTCTTATGACATAGACACAAAAGCCGATTTATTTATTTATTTAAAAATAAAAAAATTAAGTGGACAAAAACCAAAAAATTTAAAAACATGTGGACAAAAATCAAAACCACGTATTTTGAGAATACGTTTTTATTTAAAAAACGTATTTTCAAAATACGTTTTATAGTGTAAAATATATTCCGACAATACGTTTTAGTGTAAAACGTATTCACATAATTACCGTACGAGGCGATAATTTATTACATAAAAAAACACGACACGAAATTTGTGTGAGGAGCAAACTCACAAACCTGAGCCCCATACTTGACACGACCCGTACACACAAACAAAACGACACATCCAAATTATAAATAGTACTTATTCGATCCACAATCCACAAACCCCGCTTATTAGGAATTTAGGAGGCATAGATTATTTTGATACCGCCAATGGTGATGTCCTCACCCCCGGCCTTGGGCACCAATGTCACCAATATTTTGTCGTCACCCTCCACTTCCAAATCCTCCAGCAGCTCCGTCAACCCCAGCCTAATCTTAGTCTTAACCTTAATCGAGCTCTTGTGAGGGACCTGCGCGTAGCACCCCGCGTACTCCGCCTTGTCCAGCTCGTCCGACTTCTCATCCTCGTCATTCACAAAAACATCGAACTTCACGAACCTGGCCGTGTCCACCTCAATCCCCTCGATCACCAGCAGCTCTTCCTCCTCCTCCTTCTCCTTCTGGCTCCTCTTCTTCTTGGGCCTGTCCACCACCACCTTCACCACCTTGTCAAGCTTCGTCGGGAAAACCCCTGCTGCCGCCGGAGCTCCGGAGGACGCCGCCACCTTCGACTTCTTGTTGCGCGGCCTCAGCCTGTTGTTCAGCCACGGTATGTCCACCTCCTGGTTCACGTAACCCATCCGCTCAGTGTCCAGCGCGTCGGCATTGGTCACACGCACGAGCCGCCCCTCCTCGTCGAAGAAAAGGTAGTCAGCCTTGAGCCAGTCGGGGTCGTCCGGGAAGTCCTTGAAGGACTTCCCACACTTCTTCCCCTTCTTCTGCAGGCCACGCCACACGGACCAGAGGCGGTCGATGTTGGCGTGGTGGCTGTAGAAGAGCGGCTCCCGACCCGCAGAGTAGAAGTTCCCCATGTCCTCCCCACCCGGCGTGTCCTCCCCGACCCACTTGTGCAGCGCCGTGTGGGACCCGCGCTCCACGGTCCCCGCGCCCGGGTTGGGCGCAGTCCCCACCGCGTACCTCGCGCCGTAGAAGTCCTCGAGCCGCGAGACGTTGCGCACCATCTCGATGTACATTTCGGCAAGGTTGTTGGAGACGATCTGGTCCTGGCTCGTGGGTGACTTGGGGCTGTACGCCAGGTCAGCCAGGGCAGGCGGCAGGTGTTTCGGGTTGCGGCGTGCGTTGGAAAGCGATGAGCCTTCGCGCGTGAATTCCTCCGGCATGATCATGCCTTCCGGGTTGTCCCAATTCCAGAACGGGATGGCGAATGTCGGGTCGTCGATCAATTTCCCGAGGATCCTCTCGTAGAAATAAAGGTACCATCTGTGGAAGGGGTAAAAGTGCCAGCAGTGGTGGATCTGGAGCATCGAGTCCGGGGGCCCGCCCGTCTGAGGGTAGACGAAGTTGCAGTAGGCGCAGTGGATTTTGGCCTGCTGCATGAAGCTCCGTGGGTCGTCCGCCGGTAAAGCCTTCATGCAAGAAAGGGCTTTTTCGTACTTTGCAAAGTAGTCCTTCCCGGCAAGGTGGGCCGCGGGTCGGACGCGCATTGTGGTGACGGGCGGGAGCTTGTAGTCGATGAAGGCATTAGAGAGGCAGCAGCTTATGTCGAGGGGCTCATTGGTGTTGAGGTTGGTGCCGGTGGAGCATTTGGAGAGGTCGGGGGATGTGATGGGAGTGGCCAGGGCCGGGGGACCGCGGGAGAGAAGGTGGGCCGCAGCAGCACCGGATAGGCCACCGGCTCCGAGGAGTAGGTTTCGTCGGTCAAGTTTTGCTAGGTCAGAGGAGGTCTCGGTGTCGTCGTCAGCGGCTTTGCATGAGATGGCGAGGGGACGGGCGGTTTTGGTCGGGAGATGAGGTGGCAACGGCGGCGGCTTGGCGGAGAGTGTGGTGGTGGACCAGGAGAAAGCAAGAGAAGCCATTTTGGATTTGGGTACGATTTGTGTTAGGTTGTGAATTATTTAGTCATGTCCCATATTATATAGACAATAGACTTTTCCCATGTTTGTGATCACTGTTGGTCCGTGGACGGTGGACTATTAACCTGATCTGTACGGAAAAAGTAGCAGCCTAACACACTCTGAATTATCTAAGTCAACCAATCTGTAAATAATTGTTTTCTAAATCATGAATTCATAATATTAGTTAAACAATCGAATCGACCTCCTGATACACGAATCAGGGATTGAATCTTCAATTTTCCGAACTTTATACAAAACCGGAGCCTATAATACGTTTTCTCTCAAGTGCTACTAATACCATTACAACTTCCGCAAAATTATATTTCAAGTAAAAAAAAAAAAAAATTGTTTTAAGTTTTGAAGACTTTATAAAATATTATATCATTATTTGTATCTGACATTCGTTATTTGTACGACTTAATTGTTTTCTACTATAATTAATTTTCTAAGACATATTATATAATGTGTTTCATGTATAATTTTATTATTTTTCAATTAATGGTGTTAAATGATTTAATTTGTATATAAAGATAAATATAATTATTTATTTAATATATACATAAATATATAGTATGAATGTGAAAACAATACTCATCAAGAAATGATTAATTTGACATATAGTGTATAAAAAATGACAAAAAGTTAAAAATATTATATTTAAATTTTAAATTTATTAAGGGCTTGTAATTCTAAAACAGTAAAAGCCCTAATAATAAGCATGTTTCGAAATCTAGTTTCGAAACACAAAAAATTAAAAATAATGAAAAATAGAGAAAAATAAAATATCTAATTTGTTTAAAACGAAAAAAATTAATTTGTATTGACTAGTAGTTGAGGAGTGAGGACCATGATGGATAGGTGAGGCTGCTGCCAGCACGTGGTTCTAATACAACACCAAATAACAATCACATTTTTCTCGCGTTGGGTTAAAAAAGAAAAGGACAAGAAAAGCAATATTCTATTGTGTCGTTTCCTAATCGAGTAATCGGTGGTGGGGCAAGGGCACGGCACTGGAAATACAACGGTCCGTTACGAAATTATTCGGTCAGGATTTGTAACCGTTAACGATTATATAATGAGTTAACGGTTAAAAATTCTGACCAAATGGTTTCTTAACAGGACTGTAGCATCTCCCCATGGGTCATTTGTTCCATTTTTATTAGGTATAATCATTTTTATGATAATGCAAAAGATAATTTAAATTATTGATGTTAATTTATATTAAAATAAAAATAAACATTTCAAAATTCGTATTTTTTCATTATTTTAAATAGAAACTGCATTTGATAGATTTTAGAACGCAATTGTAATTTCTCCCTTTTCACTCTTTCCTTAATCATATTTTAACTAGTACAACACCCATGTATTACATGGGTGAGGACGGTGCCTCATCTCAGACTTTTTCATGGACCGATTCATAAAAGTGGGATCCGTATCCGGACAAGTCAAATCCAGGACCGTCCCGGACCGTGGTCACCCCTACCACAAATAATCAACATATTTATAGATAACTCGAACCTAAATATATTTAAATTAAAAGTAAATTAAATCTACCCAAACCTAATAACGAAGCATGTAATTTTGCCACATAGGATCTCGAAGTATGCGAGTCTGCCACATTGGCTCAGTACATTCTGAATTAATATATAAGGAGAATTTTACAATCTCTTTCATTCTTTCTAATTTCCAACAAATACCATATGAGTCCAAATTGTAATTAATTTGTCACAACTAAAACAATAAGAAAAACGAAATTGTAGAAATTATTTAATAAATAAATAAATAAATAATTTAGGTTGAGTTAAGGATAAAGATAAGTTGAATTGTGCAAGTGAAAGAGAGAAAAATAATTTTTTATTATTAGATTGAGTTGGCTTGGGTTGTGATTAGTGTTTTAGAAGTCGTTAGACGCCCGGTGGGCGCTCGACCATCGCCTAGGCAGAGCCAAAGCAAAGCCTAGAAATCAAAATTAAATACCTTATATTTTATTTATTTTCACTACCTACAAATAAAACTATCTCAATTTATAATATATTCACACACATAAGTTCAAATAATAATATTTATAATGAAAACATGATAACAAACTAAAGTAAATAGTATTTAGAAAAAATGAAAATTTGTCGCCAAGCACTCCTAGCCGCCGAGCCCATCTAGGCTCGCTTAGGCGCCGCCTAGCCGATTTTTTCAGTTGATTCATGTCAAATGTCAATCGAAGACGGCCGGGTGGCTCCTAGGCCTATTTTTAGTATAATCTTGTGAGTAAAGATAGTCTTAGTTCGTGGTCAACTTGTGACTATTGCTTAACCACATTGGCTTATTTCAGCATGTGTACTTTAAATTGTTTATCCATTTTTATGTCAAATTAATTAGAATTTTATACAAAAGTACAATTTGGAATAATTAAATTTAGCCCAATTAAATGGTGAAAGCATTAGGTTTACCTAACATGGTCTTTTATTAAGACTGTACACTCTTTTCTCTCTCTGTCGGTGATTTACTTTCTCCCCCTTTCTGTTAAGGCCATCTCCAACCAACTACCCCATACTCAAACTTATTTTGCAGTACTTAACCCATTTTGCAGTAATTTATCTCCAACGGAAAAACCCATTCTCCAACTCAAAAGAATATTTTCGGAATATTCTCTTTTACATCAACTTTTACAATTTTTCAATACTACCCACATATTTTACAACTTTACGAATTAAACCACATTATTATTTTCAATTCAATTTAATGTTAGTGTTTTCTTTTCTTGTTAAATAAAAATACCATAAATAATATGTATATTTTACATTATTATTGTGAAATATATAAAATTAAATGATAAATATAATATTATTATTTTAAATATTATGCTATATAATTTTTATAAAATTCTTTCTTTTAGTATTTTACATTATTATTGTGAAAATTACATTACTATGTATATTTACTCTATTATGAACCAATATAAAATAATATCATATTAATTATTTAAGTATCATATTTTATAATTTTCATGAAACTAAAAAAACAAAAATTTTAGTATTTTTTAAACTTAATTTTCAATTTAAAAGATTGTTTTATTCTTTTAGTATTTAAAAACTAAAGAAAAAAAATCCAGTTTACAAATTAAGATAACATAAAGGACCAAAATGTAAAAAAAAAAAAAGAAGGAACGCATAATTTGCGTTCAGACGCAAATTTGGGTCAAATTGAGGAGAGAGAGATTAGATCGCATTTTGCGATCGATTTTTGGCACAGGTTGGAGCTCCCGTACTGCAAATCTCTGAGTTTTGCAGTATTGTTGGAGAAGATCTAAGACCCTAATCGGCGAATCCCAACGCGCCTCTCCCTAGCGGAGCTCATCCTCCCTCTGGCGATGGCCGAGGCCTGGGTCGACACCAGTTCCAGTCGCTTGTTGATTCGTGGGTCGCCGTTTTCTAACCCGCGTGAATTTCATCCTTTGTTGCTGCAGATGGCCGTGGCGGGTGGGTTGTCATTGTCTTGTGGGCGGCGAGGGTGGCTGGCCGTCTGTGGGTGGTCGGGACTTAAAGGCTGGTGCTCTGCCTCTTCGTCCCCTGTCTGATCCTGGTGTTGACTCGTTAGGAGATGCTGGTGGTTGTGGCTCCTTGGCGGGTTATGATCGCCAGCCGGGCTGGGGGTGGGTAGGATGCGGTTTTAGCTGGTGTCAGTTTGTTGGTGGCTGTTTGGGTTGGGTCTTGTCTTTGGTCTGGTTTTAGTTAGCCGGTAGCATAGTTTCTAGGACCTTGTTTGAGCCGGGATTCGTTCCCGCTTAGGTGGTTGCCTTTGTTGTCGGTTTGCTTGAGGCTTCTTGTAGTAGCTTGGCTGCTAGTGGATAGGGCTTTATTCTAGTTATTAATTTTTTATTTTTTATTTTTTATTGTTAATGTGCTTGTGTGTTTTGTTTTTTTTCTCTCAGTGTGTTTTTTGTAGTCTCCCTTGTGGAGTGTTATTGTCTCATAGGTGTGGGTGTTTTTGTTGATTTTAGCCATTTGGACCTTTCGTGGATCGTGTAGCAAAACACATGTTGTGTTTTTTCCCATTTGGTTTCCTTTCTAGTCTAGGCTAGTAAGGTTATCAAGTGTAATCAGTTGATTACTGGTTTGTACTTAGGTGTGATAATAAAATTCGATGTTTGAGAAAAATAAAACTGTACACTATTTTAGTTTATTCTAAACTGTGTATTTTAAGTTTTAAATGCGCATGTGAGTGTGTGTATGTTTGTTAAGAGGTGGATTCAATAAGTCCACTTATTAAAATGAGTACGTGAGACTTAAACTTAGCGGTTGATTCATATTAACAAATTGAAATACATAGTAATTAAATTATAAAAAATAATAATTATTATATTTAGTTATTATAATAAATACATGAATTTTTTTTTTATCGGCGTTCACCGCTAGCCGACGGACGTTGACCGGTGAACATCGCCGAGAAGTACAGTTTTCTGACCAGCGTGCTCAGTCCAGACCTCGACGGCGACGGAGTGATAGGTCAAATGGCGGACAAGCTCGTTTTCACCACATGCGAGGGGCGGAGGTCGCACAGCGAGGGCCGAAGACGGAGTACGGACGGCGCACGGGGAGGATTTGCGCCATTAGGATGTGGGTGATTATTTGCCGACTGCGGGTAAGCTTTATGTGATTGGGCGATTTGATTTGGGCGATGAGGAATTGAGATTTATGAGTTTGGGCGGTGAGGAGTTGAGATTCATGAGTTTGGACAATTAGGGTCGGTGTGAAATTGAAGGCGCAAGCACGATGAAAATGAGGAGTCAAGGAGGATACNTTTTTTCAATAATTGACGGGCTAGCCCGTCCTGGCCCTGACCATGACCCGGGACTCATCCGGGCTGGCCAGTTTAAGCCGGCCCTCCAGGCCAAGAAAATTCTGATCCAACTCGTCCTTTTTGCGGGGCGAGGGGGGCCTGCTCGCAGGCCGCGGGCTATTTTGACA